GGTTGCTTACAAGCCACTTGCTCGAATCGATCGATGCTTTCGCTGTCAGCAGTTCAGTCACAAAGCAATCAATTGTTCCAATGAGCCAAAATGCTACAAGTGCGGAGAAAGTCACGAATACAATCGAGATTGTGCGAATGTTGTCAAATGCGCCAGTTGCAATGCCCAACATATGGCTGGCTCACTAGAGTGCCCCGTGAAGATTTCCTATCGCCGAGAGAAGAGACAGCAACAAGAAGGGAAAAATAGAGAAAACAGTCAACAGCCATCAACCGCCTATCTCTCTTCTCCGGCTCGACTGTATTCGACTGTCCTTCAAACGATGGCTTGCCTTACGCTTTCATTCCATTTTCAGCTGGTTCTCGTAATTGTATTGGTTCGTTTTTCACTGTTCACGCCACTCGTACTCATCATTTGCTGTTTCTCATAGGTCATCGTTTTGCTTTGCTTGAAGAAAAGGTGATTTTGTCAACACTATTTCGTCACTTCTCCTTTCGTGCCGCACAAACCATCGATGAACTACAATTGTCATTCGAAGCAATCATGCGACCTACCGTCCCTATTCAACTCATCATTGAACAAAGTCAACGTCCATGATAGATAGAACCCTAGTGAATGTACTCATCAAGCGAGTACGACTTGCAAGCATGAGTACTGAAATAACTCGGACGAGTACTGTTAGAATTTCACTCGTATGAACAGTTGTTCGAGTACTCTAGCCAGTACTTGCTACATATTCTTCCCAGAGAACAACTCACGGATTTCCGTACGAGTACTCGGTGTAGTAGTACTCAGTCGTTTCCCCGATAAATAGTCAGTAGAACACTTATGCACTAGAATGTGCATCGATACAACGTCGAGAGAAAAAGATTTCTGATCGTAAAAAAGCAATAGAACTGACCTACGGGTAAGAAGAAAGCGCTCAGTCGACTTCTTTTTTCTCGATCCTTCCTTGCGGAGTCCTCAATGATACATATAGTGGCGGCTATCGAATATCGCGTCGACTTCTTCATTTTCGTTCATCTATCTCTTGAACGCAATGGATGTTTCTTCGGACCCACACGTCAATGTTTTCTTTCTTCTATTTCTGTTTCAGAGTCATTACCTCTTAGATTGAAGATTGCTTTATAGATTGATCGGTAGATTCATTGACAAGAATTCGAATTTAGAGGCTCATCACGACGACGTGTTCTCCACGTTGATTTCTCGCGATCTATTGTGTTGATTGCGGAAAGAAAGAAGTGCTTGTTTATTTCGCTGTAAATTTCATTTCAGAAGCGTTCATTTCTCAGAACAAGCTTGTCTGTTAAGCTCATATTGTACTTCGAACTATTTCATTTTTGTTCGAGTGGCAATCTCGTTGTGAATAGAGTTTTTATTAAGGTGTTTACTGCTTCTGTGAAGTTCTCATGTCAATATTCTGTCTGTTTTTCGTTTCTTGTTGCGAGAAATGGCCTTGTTCGTTTTTTACGTATAGGACGCTAGAGCTAACTGAGTTTTTTATTCTTACGAAGTTTTGTGCGTGATTTTCATCGTGTATTTCATGGTCTTGAGCCATTGGCTCAATACACGAATAAAAATATATGTAGTACCAAAGCAGTGGTACGAAAGACCTAATGAGTATTCTACTATCACCAGCAGCGTACTCAAGAACTGTATAGAGTACTCATGTGTATTTTTGGATATTCTATAGAGAGTACTCACTGGTGGTACTCTTGTACTCAGGTAATAGGGGGAGTACTACTACTGAGTACTCAAAACCCACGAGTACTCATGAGTTCTCGCGGCATTTTCTAGCATGAGTACTCCAAGAGTACTCGCTTGGTGAGTACATTCACTAGGGAAATCATACAGATTTACTCATAGCTTAGATGTAATCAGTAGATATCGTATATATTCCATGCCCTTACACATCAACATGATTATCTATTCGAAATAAACATAGACTTGTCACAATCACAAAATACTTCCATCCGCTCGCTCTATGATGTCTTCCCTTGTCTAGATTGTCATCGTGTGGGTGTGTATCAAACCACGATAGATCTGAAAATGGGCATCTCATCCATATCCATGAGATAATCTTGCGGATGATCGTTACAATTAACAAGTAACAGCACTCGTCGTGGTGACTCACTTGACCCTAGACTGAAAGTTAGTGGAATCGTTTTTCAGTACGGAACTTTTGAGGGTGAAGCTGAAGCTTGATTCAGTAATCAGCAGGCAAGATCAGAATGTGAATTTTGCAGTGATAATGAGCTTGTTGATCGTCCTATTCGTTCACAAGTGTCTGATTAAAATAAAACAGCCGCTCGTATCAGCGTATTCCATGTAGAATGTGTAATGATGATCTTTTCTTCGTAGATATTTCCGTAGTCGCGTAAGTTTTAGTCCGAACAATATTGGATCACATTGACTATTCTGGGTGCCTTTTTGCCACACAACCCAGCTCTGAGGTGTGCGACTGAGGATGAGAGTGATCGTATTTGATCAGAAATCATGATTCTTAGAAACAATGCAATCACTCTAGATCTCGAATCTCTTTCACGTTACGATGTCAGTTCGTTCTTCGCGTTCTTCAAAATTAGTGGAGCCCTTCACCGCTTTCTAGAAGAATTGATTCGACCAAGCATTTTTTATTGGATATTCATCAATGCAATGAACAAGTAGACGCATACAGCACGGCAACTATTGTGTTTACTGGTTGTTGAGAGACAGCCACTAATTCAATACCAGAGGCGAGCGATTGTCAGAGTTATTTTCCCCCTGTCTGCCATCCAGAGTGATTGAGATTGATGCATTTTAATCAGTATACGATTGAACAGAGTATGCATCTTCACTCACTCAGTGAATGATGAGAATACTCAATTGCTTTTTGCCTTTGCTTGAAACACGTGTATTTCAGATATGATTAGTTAGCTACCGCAGACAAACATGTCAGCGTCAACAGTTACCACTATTTTGCCAGTATCCTATACTGATCTCTCTTTCTGTCCCTACTCGCTAATATTTCCACTCAGCTTTCTTTGCGGTTCTCTTGTCTATCCGAAGGGTGTCCCCCGTCGGCAACTAGTACCGTACGCGAGAGGCATAGGTAGAAATACAGCGATTTCTCAGAAAACTTAAAAGGTGCATTGTCTGAGGTATCCTCATGGTACGTATATCGCTGTTGACCCTGTTGGTAACGCCAATACTGAACTAGGTTGAGTAGTATGAATTGACTTTCATGTAGAAGCACTCGTAAAAAAAAGAATTCTAAGTGATTAGTGAAGGAAAAATCCAATGTGACCGTTCCGATGAGTTTTACAATGAAGTCGAATCATGGCTTTCAGATTGGAGCACAATAAACTAACATGCTATGTGTAAGGCGTCAGGCAAATCCAAAGAAAAAGAAGATATTGTTGACAGCTGCTGTAGTGATCATTCTTGGAATTGTAGCGGCTATTGTTATTCCGATAGTTCTTACGTCATCAAACAGAGGGAAAACAACGGCAACATCTCCCATTGCAACAAAAATAATGGAAATGACGTCCGCCGTGTCATCGCAGCAATCGACAATACTAGGCTCGTCAACTTCCACTGGGACAACAGCACCAACAACAGCGATATCGTCTTCGCCAACCTTTAAAGGTAGCCAGCCACCCGAAGAGAAATTCTTAGAATTCAGAATAGCATCGCATATTATCTATCTGTAGGTTGGTCAATAACCGGGTCTATGAGTACGTGTTGCTATCACCACACGGTATCAGTCTTAGCGAGTGGAAAAGTACTAGTAGCTGGTGGAGTTCGTGAAACTGGTACTCTAGCTAGTGCTGAATTGTACGATCCATCATCAAAAACTTGGACACCGACAGGTAATATGAAGAGTGGACGAAACATGCATACAGCATCTATCTTACCGAATGGCAAAGTACTGGTTGCAGGAGGATCAGACGGATTTAAAAGTTGCACTACTGCTGAAATGTATGATCCAGTAAGTGGTACTTGGTCGGAAGCAATGCCGATGAAGGTGGCAAGAATTAATCATGCAGCATCGATACTAGCTGATGGAAGCGTGTTAGTCGCTGGTGGGATTGTGAGAGCGAAAGCGACGAATCAATCTGAATTGTTCAACTCATCTACAGGAAATTGGACAAGCATGAAAGATATGGAAAGCGTCCGCTCGATGCTCACAGCCTCCGTGATCGGAAATAATACGATGCTAGTGGTTGGTGGACAAGCTGGATTAGCCAACTCCACAACCATCGAGCTGTACAATTCAGAGGTGAATGCTTGGATGCTTGGACCACCTATGAACCGTTCCCGAGCTCAACATACTGCATCTGTGTTGAATAAAACCAATGTGTTGGTCACAGGCGGCGAATCCGATGAAAATGCCACGGATTCCGTCGAATTATACATGTTCCTCACGAATAATTGGATACAACGTCATAGAATGATCGTTCAAAGGATGACACATACTGCGACAGTATTGCAAGATGGTCGAGTATTGATTGTTGGAGGTCGAAACAGAATGGGAGTATTACAGGATACTGAATTATACAATCCTACCGATAATACTTGGCTACACAGTGGAAATATGACCGATTCGCGAGAATATCACACTGCGTCCATTCTGCTCGATGAAACTGTGTTAGTGATTGGTGGTCAGAGTTCCAGTCAAGCCTTGAATAGCGTTGAATTGTATCATCCGTAACGGTGAATACTCTTGCAGCTCTGCTTTCTCGAAATCGTTGTTGACATTCGCTTATCCACATCGTTCTAGACCGTGTGCGTTCGACAAAGCTTTATCGTGTTTCAATCATGCCTGCACTGACACAGATTTGACAAAACGATTCAGTCGTCACTGTGAACTGCTCAATTATAGTGCTTTGCTTTCGCTGCTTTTGCAAAAACAGACTTGCTCACTATAAAATCCGTTAACTCAAACTAAAAAGGAAGTGAAAGACGAGAAGGAAGGAATTGGCAATCACGTTGACTTGTAGCAAGCTCACCCTCCCAACACATTCCCACCTCATCGAATCGAGTACTTCTTGATCCAATGGATGATCTAATTGTAACTGGTTTCTCAACGATGGAAATAATTAGTCAACAAGTCGATTCACCGAGAATCAGCGAACAACAGGAGAAGTCTCTTTTGCCTGTCCGGTCAATCCATCGTCGAAGCACATCTCGGCGGTCTTTCCTCAGCATCGATCTTTGAGTTGGAATCGATGCAAACCGGTTCATTCTGAAACATTTGAGAAGATTGATTCGACGTCACTCGAAGATGTTCATTCAGCAAAATTCTTGTCGCGACAAATCCATCTCGATGCGAACAGTCGTTGAGGGTGTGAGGGTGAGGGTGAGTTCACAAGATTATTCCAAGCTACTTACGACGATCGTTTTGAATGGGGCTTATTCCATTCACCATCAGGTAAATTTAGAATCTACACTGCATTGAATCAATTCTCAAATCAAATAGAAAACTATGGAAGTCAATGACTATCCAAGATAAAATGGAAGATATGTAGAGGTCAGAGGATCAACACGACGTTTCGTCCTCTCTCAAGGGACTTATCAGGTATCTTAAGATTTCCTATTCCATTCATCAGAACCCTTCCATAGTTTGAAGAAGTGATGACAGTCGTAATAATTCTTGATTCCTTGTTTGAGAACTGTTCTGTTGTTGATTCTTTTCTGTCATTTGTCTTCGATTGACTATGAATTCTGTCTGTTTCCCTGTTCTTCTTATCAACCATGGACTATTCTTGTTGATTGCTGGTTCAAAATTGAAGGATTCTCTAGCAAAGTGGCAATGCCCTTCTCAGAATTCCAGAGACGAACCATTCTCTCTCAGAAAACTGACAGGATTCGTGCCTCATTTCTGAATATTTGATCACACTCTTTCCTGTTTTGTCTGCTCATCTCTTCATCTCTGTCTCTCATGCTCAGTTGCACAGTCCCACTTGATTCCACTTCCGCCTTCCTCGAATTGCTTCATTCACTCTCTCTCCCTACGCGTTCTGTCGAAGATACAACTCCAGAAGGCGTTCTCTCTTAATGCTGGTGCTCTCTCACTCTGACACTCACAACCTCAATAGGCATATGGTAGGGTGCGGGTGTCACGAAAGGAGTGACCAGTCCCGCAGCTCACAGGAGTATATGGCATGGTGAGGATGCCACGAAATCTTATTCCAGCATTGTATCACTGTCCTGTTCTTGTTGAATTTCTCTCGGTATCCGATTCAACTATGATCCTGATGTTTTAGCTACTAGATTCATTCATTTCAGCTTATTAGTACTCAGTACAGTGTCCATCACTCTGATCCGGCAAAAAACCACCAGTCTTGCTATCAGAAACCATTCATTTCGACATCCAATTGAAGGCAGGCTCACATTCAGAGACACATATCGCATGTTGTCATTCGAACAAAGCCTGTGAATTTATTGCATCGGCTGGGTACAAAATCCACTCATTAGCGAATTTGAACGCTCTCGTAGTTCCGGAAACATCCCAAAATTATCTTTTTGACAATAGCAAATACAGAAGGCATGAGACGATGACTGTGACAAGCATCGATATCCTTTAGCAAGCTGATTCAGAGGTCATATTCTGGATCGGATCGAATATATCATCCTCCACCTTCTCTCGTTCAGGATACGATACGCCATTGCTGCGAATACATCTATACCTGCGATAACGTGTTTGAATGCGAATTAGCTAGGAACTTATTCCGATGCAAGTTAGTTGACCGATGAATTAGACGAGGTAGTTTCCTGCGCTTAGATGAATCGAGAGAGGGAAAATGCCGCAACTCCGGAGGCAACTGGCTCGATGAACGACTCGAAGCGTACCTAATCTGTGTTTCGCACTTACATGGATGGATATAACTTTTTTACGACTTTTGGCTGTTTTAATCGGGAGTAGATGGACGAATGTGGAGGATACGGAGCAGAGACAAAAAGATCAGTTATCCAACAAATGTGGATACATTTTGCGCTAGAAGTAATCCTGTCGCAGAAGAGATAGAACCAGCGTATTGATTCTGTGTATTTGTCTAAGCTTTTCTCTAGACGGTGATCAGCTAACTAGATCATCTTTTTTAGAAGTGAGGTCTGAGAAGTTGATGATTTATTTCCAATTCTTGAAGAAGAGATTGGTGTGAATAAAACAAGGACCTGATAAGAAACTTTCTTGAATGTCAATCTCTGTTTTCTTTTCGATGGTTGTTGACTTCATCTCTTTCCCGACGGTGCACAGCCGATACCACCTCCAGCGCCTGGTGCACAACGAGAATAACTGTAGATTGGTCTTCCTTGACATTTGATATGTGTACCAACAGCACAACTTTTATAGCAGCAAGCAGCGCCACATGCTACTTTCGTAACTTCACTTAAACTCCACATATCCACTCTTGTGCATGCCGACTGACGGTCAAGAACCTCCCTGGTATCAGGTGCAGCAACTGGACTAGCATCAAGCACAATCAAGCATAACCACAATGATAAAATATAATACTTGATCATCTTCCAAGCTATCGTTTTTGAAATGACGAAATCAAGTGTACACTTCAACATGTCTTCTTTCAAGAAAATTCTTTCTTTTGATATTCCATCCTGCGAGTTGAATCGATCTTCACTGATAACATCTAAACTCGCCTGATGACGAATGGATTATGCTCCATTCGAAACGATCGTCGTTCGTAGCTTCGACTCTAAACTACCTATCTGAACTCATCTTCACCCTCACCCTCAACAACCAAAGTCAACTTTCACACACAGAAACACACAGATCTCAAAGGCTGTCGACGACAAATCAAAGAAATTCGACGAGAACAGGACAATTGTACAACAAGAGATCAACATTTCGTGGCACCATACCCTTCCTCGCACCAGGATATTTTCTTGTGTCCCCAGTTCGTATTTGACTGTCATCTCTGAGCGTTTCGCTTATCATCCAAATAAAAAACTTCGGTTGAGTTGACACTGTTATTTTGATCAAGGCAAAAGACTTCGATCGAGTAGGTGAGTGCAATCAAGATCTCGTGGCACCCGCACCATCCCATATAGCCATTGAGGTAGCGAGTGTCAGAGTCAGAGAGCACCAGCATAGAGAGAGACCGCCTTCTGGAGTTGTGTTCTGAACAGCAGCAGGCAGAGATTCAGAGTGATAGTGTGGTGGAATGAAAGCATTCGAGGGAGCCCAAAGGCCGACCATTGGGCGCAGTGGAACCAAGGGAGAGATGAACAGATAAACTACTCAGGAGTCAGACTAAATAATGAGAACTGACCGCCCATTCAGTTCAGTTCGCAAGGAAAGATTGATTTTGCTGTTCAACTCTTCGAATCTGAGAAGGAGATTTCCATTTTGTAGTGGAGTTCTCCAATTTTGAACGACAAATCAAGAGCAACCAAAGTCAACCTTCACACATAGCAACAGAGAGACTTTAAAGGCAGTTGACGACAAATCAAAGAAACTCAACAAGAAAAGGACAGTTGTACAACAAGGGATCAACATTTCGTGGCACCATACTCATTTACTCATCAGGATAAATTTTTTGTATCTCCAATTCCTGTTTCACTGTCATCTCTGAGCGTTTCTCTTATTCTCTAGATGGAAATTTCGGTCGGCTTCAGACTTTTTTCGATCAGGACAAAAGACTTCTTGAGTGTACCAGAGTGCAATCAAGAGGTCGTGGCACCCGCACCATGCCATATACCCCTGTGAGCTGCGGGACTGTTTACTTCTTTCGTGGCACCAGCATTGAGAGAGAACGCCTTCTAGAATTGTGTTTTGGACAGCAGCAGGCAGAGATACAGTAGGCATAATGAGGCAGAATGAGAGAATGAACGAGAAAGAGTGAGAGACAAAATGGGAGAATTGAGCAATTTTCGAGGAAGGCCAAAAGCCGACCAAAGGGCGCAGTGGAACTGTGGCAGATCGTCGAAAACTTCGAAAACAAGGGGAAATGTCAGAAGCAATTGATTCACTGAGCGCTGCGTCGATCGATCAGAGTGTCTCTCCTGTACCAAAGGGCAAGGTTGGTTCGAAAAGAGGTAAGAAATCGCTCTCTCTCATGCGATCTATATTCCTTCGTGCTAGATGGTCATTCGAGACAGCGATCGATGAGAAAATGATCGTGCACTAAAGAAAAGAGAAAGACAAAAATCCAGAAAGAACAGTCTAGTTTTACAGATACGCCTGATCAAGTCTTCGATCAAATGTTATCAACATCTTTCCCAAGTGAAGAGAAGCTGGTTCAATTCCTGAATGGCAAAAATAAAATAAAATTCATTCATCGTTATACTGATTTACCGGATCGATTGTCTTATTGGAAAGTGAAACAAGCACAATGGGATTATTATCTGCAGATCGGTCAGACGCAGAATATTTGGACCAATCGTGTACCAAAGCATCTAGCCGAGAAGAATTCCGTGGTCCATGCGAACGGCAGATCGAAGTCTATAATTGGACAGCGTCACATTCAGAGTGAACAGCAGATCGTATCCCAATCGGTGCCAAATGTCGATTATTCCTCCGAACTGAACTCGTTGTCGTCGATCGTTCGGACATTCGTCCATGAAAATCAACAGCAACTACGAAGTGAACTAGAATACAAGAGACAAATGCTGATCTTGGATGCAACTGACCATCGTTTAGTTCAGGCATTCTTTGAATCCAATACTGAATACACTTGTCCTTGTCTTAGATCCATTTCGCCAGGCGTATCTGGCGAACGACAGCCAAGCAAACCATGGTCGAAGAAGAGGTGGCCTGCTGGGAACGTCGTCTCTTAGCCAGGCCATTGCAACCGTCGTCGACTTTGTTCGATCGAATGATAGACGATATCGATGCCACGGAACAAACATCACCAACTGAGTGGGAGCAGATGAAGCAGTTGAAGAAGGATATTATTCATCAGTGCATCATTACGGGTCGTGGCATGGCACACAGATATCACAACGATGTTCTGCACGAACAGAAGAAGAAGTACTTCGTCAAGTGTGGGGTCGATGAATCCACAGCGGAATGGCAATTGGAAGTGATCCAGGCGATTGAGACTCGTCGGTTGCATATGCTTGAACGTTCTACATGAGTCATTCAATTGAAGCTCGCTACCGCGTTCGCGAACAACTAGAGACATCCAAAGGCAATGAACTACCAATCTTCAGTCAAACAAAAACACTTCCATCTTACCATATTTGTCAGGGAATGCTCTCTTTTCTTTCTTACTTTATTGTTAAATACACATTGCTCATTCTTGTCTTGATCAGTGCTGAATCTCTCCAGTGGTGAGTACCTGTTCAATTCCTTCTAGATATCTTCTTCTGTTTCCAGTGTCGAGAAGAAGATTTCGTAAACGAATCCTCCTATGAATCAATCACTCGCTTCTATTCTATGAACACAATGAACGATTGAGGACATGAACATCAGACAAACATCGAGCTGAAAATCACAATTAATTGGATGATACGAAGGACCAATCAGTTAGTGCTGATATGAATGAGATGTTCGAGTGACTCATCGATCCAACGATTTGAACAGTTTCTCTGTTATTCTCTTAGTCGAGAAACGCGATTCAACGCGATCAACCATAATTTCTTCTCCTGAGTCTATCAGATCTGCGATTGATCTGTGAACAAGAATTGCTCCGAAACCAATAAATTCTATGAAACGATTCACGCACTCTCTCGCGATAAAACAAATAGATGACCAGCAACGAAGAACGACAGCAAGACAATTGCCAATATCGGGCTATTGCAACAGACACTTACTCTAATGAGCGAGATCACTAGGAATCGATTGGGATCGATACTCTGGTCTGGAAAACACACTCGATCAACAAGACACCTAGATGAAGCGATGTTCACAAAAACAGTTGAAATACGATCGAAACGCGTCGTGTTTGTTATTCGGTATACTCACCCTCACCCGGCAGTTGGATTCGCGGAGGCTTTGGCGAGTTCCTGCTTGTAGATCATTGCGATCGGAATAACTTCGTTTAGAGCTCGTTCCTTGATGTTGTGACGAACTTGTCTGGCCGTACTCGCATCAGGGTTCGGTTCATGATCGTGTTCACTTTTGCCATCACTGAGGTAGACATTATTTAAATCAGTATGCACACAGGTTCGGCACGAATTGTTCACACATATCCAATACTTCTTGATTTTTGTTCGCTTGTTGCATATGAACAAATAATCATTCAATATCAATGGCTGTTGTCCTTTATTCGATGTGATGAAACTAAGATGAATGTTCTCTTTCTCAGTCGATTCCACTGCGTTCGTTGATGCTATCTCCATTCGTTCCAATTCTAAATAACGAGTTGAATTTGATATGCTCCTGAAGGATATCTTTCTTCTCTCCTTTGTTTTCTTTCGTACAAAGAACGTTTGTATCCCTTTTCATGCCGCGATCGGTTACGTCATTTACCAATCATCGATTACGGTAGAGTTCACTAGTCTAAACGGCTGGTATCGCCATTTCTCATCATATGATTGAGATATCTCGTAACCCTTTATCTGCCTCGTAGCTGCAAACGGTCGACAGCTATTTTCAGCATTTGCGTTTTCGATTTCTCAATCTTGATTATTAACTTCCTTCGTTTTTTCTTCCGGTATTCTTTTTCCCAACGTTTGACTTGTCGGCATTTTTCACTCGATATTCTGACTTTCGACATTTTAGTGTTCTTCGTGGCTTTTTTCGACATTTCTACTTTTGGTGTTACTGAGGATAATCAGTGCAACGTATAACATACTCTTTCTAGGGTTGATGAACTAAAAGAGTATTTTAAGGCCGAAAAGAGTACATGAAAAGGTGTATGAGGCTCAAGAACCCTTTTGGAGGGTTTATCGCTCTGCTCTTACTTTTTGCAGTGTAGGATGAGTGCTAATTGTTATCAAGTGAAAACGGATATTCACAATGCTTTACTCATAGAAAGAATCTAAAAGCGAATTTGTCAAGCACAAATATATCTTGATAATTAATTATCGCCTGTGTGATGTTGTTTCTTAGGACAGCAACGTTTACAACAACGAACACATTTACGAGAACCAGGAGAACCGTTAGTAACGCAAGCGCCACGACAAGTAGTTCTGCTCCGATAACCAGGACAAGTACCAGGACGTTCTTTACCATAAGGAGGATAAGTGAAAAGAGTTCCACCATTATTAGGACCACCAATAATAGGTATAACAGTACAACCTTCAGGACACGTCCATTTGGATGCTTGGCTGCTGAAACCAACTATAGCCAGGAGGATTATTACTGAGACTA